ATTTACGTGTACATTGTAGTTTTGTCATGTCATTGTTTTCTGCGCAGTAAAAAGGTAGGTATGTATATTAATCAAATTTTCAATTATCGTGGAAAATTTACAAGAATGTTGAGTACATATCTAAAGATCTGCCTATATTTTTAATATGTACGTAAACGTATTAACTATCTAAATCTGATAAAAGTTCCGGATTAGCCCATAACGTCATCACCCATAGTGCTGCCCAGGCCACAGAATATATACACTACGCGACCAGGCACTATTAGGGTACGGCCAGAGTGCACTCAGATTCAGATTCAGACTCAGAAAACAAGCGCGAGAAAAAAACAGTGTAGTTAAAGCAGGGTGGCCATAGTGGTAGCAGGCAACCTGCTTAAACTACACTGTATATTTCTCGCGCTTGTTTTCTGAGTCTGAATCTGAATCTGAGTGCACTCTGGCCGTACCCTTAGCCCAAGCGATAGAGTAAAGCCAAATAACGAAAAAAATCCACACTAGTTTTTTTACATATGTTAGGGTAGGTCAGGAGCTCAATGGCGCGGGTGGTTAGCGCGTTCGGCTGATATCGTTGAAGTTAAGCAACTTTCGCAGTGGTCGGTCATTGAATGGGTGACCAAAAATCTTCTATCTCGAGATCCTACGTGCTTCGGAAGCCACGTTTAGCCGTTGGTCCCGGCTGCATCAGTCGTTAGCACACGCCAATCCGCACTGGGCCCGCGTGGTGGGTCATGGCCCAATCTCCATATTCCATCCATAGGTAAGGCCTGTGCCCCAGCAGTGGGGACATTAATAGGCTGATGATGAGGGTAGGCCATAAGAAGCTTAAGTTTAAAAATCGGGAAATGTAGGGTGGTCAAACTGGCCGCCATATGGGAAAACGCGTTTATCGCTATATCTCCGAAAATATTGACTTTACGGAAAACAATGTAGAGTACTTTTTTGTTTAATACTAAATCCCCTAACTTTTATGTCTAAAACGAGATGATCGATATTATAAAATGTTTTAACGTTGGACTTAAAAACTAGTTTCTGCGAATTTACTGGCACTGGATAAAATCTAAGTATATTTATTTCACACAAATCTATTTATTTGATAAGAAGATTACCTATTCAGCATTATTATTTACTAGCTGGCCCAGCGAACTTCGTATCGCCATAAAAATATGGGTGGTAGAGGGGTGAAAATTAAGGGTTGTTTGTGTTTTTAATATTACGATACATATTTAATCGGTTATTGTGATTAAACAATGATAGCTAGATATATGTTCTCGCGGACTTTTTTGTAGGTCTTAATGGGATCTACAAACTCGTAGTACATCATTTTGTTCTATTGTCAATAGTTTTTGCAGTGCACGCAAAAATAGGTATTCGATTTTACACCTTGTGTTACAAAATAGCAATTTTATTACGGATCCCTACTTTTGAAAAAAAATAGCATATAGCCTTCCTCGATAAATGGACTACCCAACACTGAAAGAATCATTCAACTCGGAAAAGTAGTTCCAGAGATTAGCGCGTTCAAACAAACAAACAAACAAACTCTGCAGCTTTATAATATTAGTATAGATTAAGCAGATAAATTTAAGTCCGCATTCTACATGTTTTAATTAATGTTTAATAATCTCAAACAACTGAAGATGCGCTGATTATTGTGAAGGCACGGTCAGGCACGGTGTAGAGTAGGTAGGCTACTTAACTATCAATTTATTGATAACGGCCAGTCATTACTTTGTGGGTGTGTTTTGTTATGCGACAATATTTGATACTCAAGTTATCGTATTATTTTACGTAGCTTCTAGCGGGTTTTTGAAACTGGTAGCCTTATACTCACATAGCTTTATGACGACATGCACGATTCACTTATGAAGGAGGTCACAGCTCGCGAAGTCGCATTAACAAACAGACGTACGTCGCACGAGAATCAAAACGCGCATAAAACTAAACGCAGTCCAGTTTATTTAAAAAGAAATTAATTAACAGAAATGTATTCTATCGCCGAGGCCACTCTTGCATTTGTTGTATTGTATCTTTTCTCTTTTTTGTTTGAAGTTGTTACGGGATTAGTGGTGTAATCAAACAACTGAAAAAGAACTAAAAAATGTGATATTTTAGTATTTAGTTCATCTAGGTTTAGCAAAATACTTTAGTCACTTAACAATGCAAATTAGATCTTTATATATAGTAATTATTAACTTAATGAATACGCGTATCTTTTAAATAACGCTTCGCAACAGAATTCGGTAAGTGCCTTTTTCTATTACTTACCTGTTTTATTATTAAGAGGGGTATCTTTTTCATAACTGGAATTTGTACTAAGTAAGTATATTTACATAAAACAGACTTTGAATTTTCATAATAAACAAATATATAAACATAAAAAACTATTTAGTTATAATAATATTAAAGGTATTAAAGTATTAACATATCGGCGTTAAAGGAAAATTGATGTTTTTACTTGTACTATGAATATAAAGTGTAATCATTGATAAATAAGAATATTTAAATAGGTATTTTCTTTGTTTATTTTAAATTTTTAATTTATTTTCGCAAACGCGGTGTCGATGTCCATGTAAAGATCACAATAATGGGACCACCAACATACACACTAAAATAAAGTTGGTTGAGTTTATGAATAGAATTACGCGTTTTATTAGAAAAAAAAATATCTACATAATTGTATGTATTATCACAGAGTACATTGGTACTCTGTGATAATTACCTACCTTAATTAAATCTACTAACGTACTGATATGATTTTGCTGAAGTACGAATTTGTTTAATTTTATTTATTTTACCTATTTGTGACATTATTGCAGCAATGAAGTATTTACAGCACTGGCCTATAAACTATGTAGTGTCCCAAAGCAGTGGTAGGGATAAAGTAATACTGGGACGAGTAAAAGCACTTTTTAGAGCCTGTTTCCTAAAAATAAATGTTTTTTTAGCTTCATATAATGTACTAGAGGTGTACCTGCGGTTTCACCTGAAATTTTAGGAAAAGGGTGCAATATAGATAAAAGCTGTTGCGGATCTTTTATAGAAAATTTTGAGGAGAACAATACCGTCATACGAGTATAAATGCGATTCAACTAAGAATAGGACCGACTGGGCGCCATATTGTGATGTCAATTCAAACCAAATAGGTAGAGTGAGAAAAAAAAAGTTTTTATTTCATAAAACTTATTTACTAACATTAAGTGAGAAAAAACATCAGATTTTTGAAGTTATACTTCTTTAGCCGCGTTATGAAAAAATTATGAGAGTGAAATTTTAAGATGCGCGCGCATCACTGTAACACAAAAGTAACATAATGAAGTTGGCCGCGGGCGCGTTATGAAAAAATGATGAGAGTGAAATTTTAAGATGCGCGCGCAACACTGTAACAGAAAAGTAACAACATGAAGTCGGCCGCTAAACCGCACATTACTCGTAAGTCTCGAAATCGAAAAAAAGCTTCCAACAAAATAGTAATAGGATCTCTTAGTCGCACATGTTGGGACGCTCGTCGCCTCTGATCACTGTTTTCATATTTATAATATTTATCCACATGTTTCTAGTTTCTATATTCTTAACACGTGTTATAATGTTATACAAATGCGATATTTATATGTGCTAATAAATTTTATTCAGTAGTGATTTAAATTGAATATTTTGATTATTTATTAATTTTTTCAAATTAAAACTGAACTTTATTGACTGCGTTGACTATCCTTTTCCAATCCTTTTATTATCTTATTGTAATAAATTATCAGCATGCAATTAAAAACTATTTTTTAATAATTCCAAAAAGAAGTATAACTTCTCACGCGCGTACTTAAGTACAAGCACCCATATTTTTTTTAATAACATTTATTCACTAAGATTGAGAAAAAAAAAACACCGATTTTTAATAACATTTATTTATTATGACTGTGAGAATAATCAGAATCTAGCTCTTCTATTCCGCTCATCTCTGCATTACCGCCGGAGTAGTTATGAATAATCATGCACTATTACTAGGGCACATACGAACATCCATCCTTTATGTAAACGAAAGTTTGAAATCGAGTTTCTGAACGCAACTTAAAGTGACATTTGGTTGACGATCTAGGTTAACAACCATTCATGGCCAAAGCTAATTAAGTGAAAAAAAATATCAACCGATATTAATTATCAATATTTGTTATTGTTTGTTTACAAATGTTTGGTTTTTATTCTTGAATTAGCGGAGTGCTAAAAGAGGGTTCCAAGTTTTTTTTGCAAACCGTACTTTTCAAGCGACATTTGACAGATGGATGTCATTGGCTTTGCTATTCTTAATTGAATCGCATTATACCTATATGATTTTTATGGCACTTTTACCGTTCACGCAGCGCACGCAATGGAACTCTCAAAATTTTTCGCGTTTTTACAAAATTTTTTTTGGTGCTCCGCTCCTATTGGTCGTAGCGTTATGTTACCTATATGTATCGCATATACAGCCTTCCTCTATACATGCACTATCCAAAAAAAATATTTCTTCCAATCGGTTTAGTGGTTCTTGAGATTAGCGCGTTCATCAAAACACTCAAACAAACAATCACGCTTTCAGCTTTATAATATTAGTATAGATTAAGTACCTATCTAACCATCCACCTTATTATTTACTTACAGACCGATAGTGGTCATCATTTAAATTCAAATTACATAATCTGAAGTACATGGCTAAAATTAATTGTAGGTTCTGACGTCTGACGACGGTAAATAATAGGAAAGTGTAAGGCAGTTTTTTAGTTTCCGGCCTGGGTGTTAATTGGATGTAATGATAATTTTACTAATAAATAGATAGTTACATATTAAATACTATGCATTAATAGCGGCTCTTTTCGTATCATGTTGGCTCTGCTTAATACAGAGGCGACATCTATTGAAGCGGTAATGAAAAAACTTGACTATCGTGATGCTACGTAAATGGAAATAACAACTTACTGGAAGGTACTATTGACTTGTGTCATGAAAAGAAGTGCCAGCCAGTGTCAGTGGGAATCTGTCAAAGTCAGCTGTGTTGTTTTGTGTTGATTTCAGTCGGAACTGTTTTGTAGCTAATGTAAATAAATTACAATATGAAGTACATGAAAAGTGATTTATTCAAACTGAGTCATTTCTTCCGAAGACGAGCTTTATGTTCTCGTTACGTTTCTACAAACATTGAGAAGTGGCAAAGTGTGGTGGGGTTAGAAGTGCACGCTCAACTCAATACTGAATCGAAACTATTTTCTGGTGCTCAAAACACTTTTGGTGGGCTTGTGAACAATTGTGTTTCTCTATTTGACGCTGCTATACCGGGAACTTTGCCTGTACTTAATAGAAAATGCGTGGAACTGGGCATAATGACTGCGCTAGCTCTGTCCTGTAAGATCAATGAAGTGTCCACTTTTGACAGAAAACATTATTTCTACGCTGACTTGCCGTCAGGATATCAAATAACACAACAAAGAGCGCCCTTGGCTAGTGACGGCGTTATTGATTTTCAGGTATATCTATACCTATATATCTATATAAATTCCTGCTGGTTTTTTAAGTTTAAATGAAGGTCTTACAAATACTATCATAGAAATACTTATTAGGTCGCCCGTCTGGGGAAGTAACCTCCACCTCACAGTAGACTAAAGTTTCAGGGCTCCACGGAGTAGGGGTCTGGGTCAGGGTAGGAAACAATGCGGGTGTCATTTGTTGTATCGCAAGCTATAATAAGTATATAGGCTGTATAATAAGTACAAGTATATATAAATAAGTCTTTAGGCTATGGAGGCCTCTGACCATCAGGCGGGCCAAACACATGTTTTAACATTAAAAAAATACATGGGTTAATTGCGATTCAAAGCCAATTCAGTTTTATGGGGCATAGTGCCTAGGCTCCAGAAAATATCAACACTTTAAGGATGACTTAAACTGGACTGTTTCCCAGCTTTGTCTGTTTACTCAGTTACCGCTAGCTATAGAGTGTCTGTGTTATATATCATGTCAATGTATTTATTCCATTTTCTGTCATTGTTCACAGGTGTATACTCCAGGCATCCACAAAAAGCCATACAAAAAGAGTTCAAAGATAAAACAGATTCAATTAGAGCAAGACAGTGGCAAATCTCTACATGATGCAGAACTTAAGCGTAGCCTCGTGGATCTCAATCGAGCTGGGGCTCCGCTTATTGAGCTAGTCTTTGAACCTGACTTAGAAGTAAGTAAAACTATTGTTATGTACAAACTATGAAACTATGTTAATTCTGTAACTGTTGAATAATCTATTGAGGATTGGATTAACTGAGATATTATGTATCTGAAATTAATGTAAAATATAATGTTAATAATACAATGCAACCTCAATGTAATGATTTCCTTGATTTAACAAATTTTTCGTAATCCCTTTAAATTGTCTATATGAGACAATTTTAAATATACATTTATATTACTTATGACTTTTTTTCAAGCAACCACTTTATAATGTTTTTGCAACTATCAAAAAAGAGTGCATACCTCAAATTAACGAATTTTGTCAACCAAAAACCTTTTTATTATGTTCCCACCCATATATGACTCTTAATCAAAGTCATGAAAGGAAACTTTTTTTTACTTCTTTTTAACAAATTTTAGAAAGACCTAACCTCAATATATCAAACCTCAGTATAACAAATTACTACTCACTCGATAATCGACTAATTACTCAATATAAGGATTATTTACTTGTTCTCTTCCGATTTGTTATATGGAGGTTGCACTGTATGTACTCATAAGATTTGGTAAATGCCAATCAATGATAGTAGTTTCTTAATAAATAATAATTTATTTTCAATGCGTCTATTCACATAGCAGAAAATTATTAATGTTACACACCTATTGCTAATAAAATTCATGAAAAGAACCTTGTGTTATCAAAATCCAGATTTGCAAATTGTAACCGGCCAAGAGTCAGATCTTAAAAAAAATGCGACTCCTTACTCGTTTTTAAAAGGTATATTAATCGCGATTTATTAACTTTTTCATCTTGCGCCAATGGAGTCATAAGAGATCTGAAACATCAGCGATAATAAAAACAGTAATTAAACGAGCTTTATGAGCCCGATAATGATTGTGATAACATAAGAAATAAGTATGTAGGTAGATGTTTATCTTTATTAACCTTCTTTCTTTCCTTATTTCCTTTGAAGGATGGTGAAGAAGCGGCGGCGTTGGTGAAAGAGCTGGTGTTAGTGGTGCAGAGAATTGGCGCATGTTCCGGACGCATGGAGGAGGGTGCGCTCCGAGTGGACGCTAATGTTTCGATACGCCGTCCCGGGGCTCCACTGTCGACTAGGACGGAGGTTGGTATCATATTTAACCTAGGACCAAGAGATCTATATTCCGGGGCGTTAGGCTGTGAGTGGGGGCTGTAAGAGCTGCAAGATGGAGCAGAAGTCTTGTTTATTTATTCAACAGGAAAGTTCTTAGCCTTTGCAACAAAAACTGTTTGCAAAAAACTTGGAATGCTTTGTAAAGTACATTCAAATATAGTGGCAAGAGATTTTAGTAAATGCTTAGATGTCAGGAGGATATACATACAGGTATTCGTATATTGGCCTATATAAAGGTTAGTTAGCTAAAATTTATCAAAAAAAAATGTGGTAAATACAAGCGTTCTTTGTCTTTAATCAATGAAAGATTTGAAAATATAAAATTGAAATCATATTTTATGAAGCAAGTGAATGTTTTAAAATCACTAATAATAAAGTTGTTCCTTGGCTGGGATTCGAACCCGGGCCGTCCGCGTACAAGGCGAGCTTTCTACCGCTACCACCGAAAAAAATGTAATGCGACTTACTTAAGTTGAACGACAAAATGTGTAGCGAAGCGATGTACTTATTAAAACTTTAATAAGTTATCGAACCAACCTGGCCTTGCATTGATGAACTTCATTTTAATGCAATAAAATATAGCGCAGCCTAAGCAACTGGGATTCATGTAGTTTTCTTTAATTAATCTACTACAAAACCACTATAAGTAATTCCAGGGTAGAAAAGTTTGTAAGGGTAGAAACCTTTCAAATACCAAATGTAATTTGATTGGAATGTGGCTTCTGCAGTATGATTGTGTGAGCTAACACAATGAGGAAAATAATATGGGCAAAATTATGCATAATATGAATTGGTAAAACTGGCCAAGTGATGTAATATTTGAAATATGGCGATTGCCAAATAACAGTCAATTTCAATAAATCAAACTCCAGTAAGAGTAAAGTAGTAAATTTTTGTTATTTAGATTATAATACAACCTTTGCTAAGAAACGGAACAAGATTATCCGTACCTTTTACTGGAGGTTGACTATTAAAACTGGCCGTAAGTCGAGATAAAAGACACATTATTTGAAAATTCCACATGTGTTTTATCTTTCTACACCTTAAGTCCTTTTACCCGTAGCCACCAAGCCATTATTTATTTATTTTTATTTGGGAAACATACAGTTTTTCACAATTCAATTAAGTAACACTTATTACTTTTCAATAAACCAGTTAAGTTCCGACAGACTGAAACATTAATACACTTTCATAATTTACTTAAAATAACGTACAATATAGTTATGTGAATACAATAAAGATCATGATAATTAAAAATTGATAGTAAGAAAATAATTAGTGAGTGTTAGGGTAAAACCGACCTTATAGCATTCATTCCTAAATTGATTATAAGAAAGGCAAAATATATGCAATCCCCTGAAGTATTCATAGCTGTGACTTGCTCTAGATATGACACTATTTGCAGCAAACTTAGTTCTGCTTAATTGTATTACAAATGTGTTATCAGACCTAGTTCTATTAGGACAACGGAAACCAATCCTCTGCAAAAGGAACGGTGAATCTACAAGGTGATTAATAAATTTGTAAAGAAATAATTGATCTCTAACAGTTCTGCGATGTTGCAAGCATGTAACTTGTAACTTTGATTCACAATCATTATTAAATTACGTTAACATTAATTCTGTTTTCTAAGTACTTTACTAATTTATGTTGAATTCTTTCAATAGCATTAATGTATGTATTATACTGATACTTATAAACAAAGTTTTCAGAATATCTGTATGCTAACTAACTTTTCCCATCATTACAGATAAAGAACATTGGCTCCGTGAGAGGTGTAGCTGGAGCGATTCGTCACGAAATCGAACGCCAACGGAACATTCTGGAGAACGGTGGACGGATCACAAATGAGACTCGATCTTGGGACGCTGTTAATAAGGTCACAATCGCTATGCGGGACAAGGAGGTCGTCCAGGACTACAGGTAATTAAGATGGTCAATAACTCCTTTGCTGTTATCTATTTTAGGTACCAAAAGGTCGCGCGTTGCTTTATCTTATATTATTTATTTATTTATGTAAAGATCTAAGACAAGCTAGTAATTGTTTGTACTAATTGTTCTAGATTGTCATAGTTAAATTGCTCCAACCATTTTATAACTAGTTGCTTATTTTTTTTTGACTTATATTGTATACAGTCTTTGAATGACCGAAGCACTTTGTTATAAATGTCCAGGACTACAGGTAATTAAGATAGTGAATAACTCCTTTGTTGTTATCTATTTTAGGTACCAAAAGGTCGCGCGTTGCTTTATCTGTGTACTTTAAAACTTAAATCCTATTTTGACACTTATCTTTGGAATGTGGGTATCAAACATGTTTGAAGCAGTCATTAATTTAATTTATAATCTTAATTGTTTCCGAAGGCATTATGATTGGGCTCTATCTGTCTGGCACAGAAAGTAATTGCGGCGCAGTTCATTGGGATTGTTGCGATATTTTTCTCCTTATTTAGTCATGACGGCACTTCACTTGGCTATTCGTATTTGCTATTTGTAAACTTGACAACAGTCTGTCCTCCATCATCAACATCAACCCAAGCTCGTCCACTGCTGGACATAGGTCGCTCTTAATGCACGCCACTGCTCCCGATTTTCTGCCACTCTCATCCAGCCCACTCCAGCCAGCCTACTAATGTCATTATCCCATCTTGTCTCAGGGCGTCCTTCCTACACTATGTTTACCGAGTCGCGGTCTCCACTCAAAAACTTTAGTGCTGTGGCTCATGTGAAAAGCCCACTGCCACTTTAGTTTGCTAATTCAGTCTGCCCTAATCATGCTTTATATGGAATGAAAAGGACAGATTGATGTCAAGTTTACAAATATTAAACACGAATAGCCAAGTGAAATGCCGGCATCAGGTGTTTTATATTAAGTATTTCTAGGGGTTTTTACTAACAGTTAGCAACAAAACCTAATTATTAAAACTGTGCCTCCACTTTCCGTCTTTTCATCCTTCTATTATGAAATTTTATATCATGAGCCTTAATAGATGTACACTTGAAATTTTTACACATTGTGTAGGTATTACTGTTTCCACTTATCCATACTTCTATACTATATTATAAATGCGAAAGTGGGTCTGTCTGCTACCTCTTCACGCACCGCTGAACCGATTTAGATGAAAGTTGGCACAGAGATAGTTTCAGTCCTGGGGTAGGACACAGGATAGTTTTTATCTATGAATTAATCCCACAAGAGGGTGAAATTTGTATGGGAAACCAATTTTTCAACGCAGATAAAGTCGCGGGCACCCACTTGTTCAAAATATCACAAGAATTATTTTTATCTCAAATTTATATTACACGGAGGTTGGAGGTTTACGATAACAGCTGTACTTAAGTTTAATGGAAATAAAACAAAATTATTACAGTTTAAGATTGATTTAAAAATATAAATCTAAACAATAAACGATCAACGTATTTTTCTCCACGTAAGCATTCATTGGAACAAAAATTAAATCTAGCGCGATGGCATGGAACGAGAAACTTAGTTGGTTTATGTAAATAAGGTGTCACCTACTCATGGGGTTCCAATCCCGGTGGGGCAAAAATTTGTGTGATGCATACGAGCATCTGTACCTATAGTCATGGATGTTTATGATATGTATTTCTACATAAAATATACTAACATATGTATAAATATATGTATTATATGCGTTACCCTAGGATCCCATAACACAAGCCTTTCAGTGCTTACTTTGGGGCTAGGCTAATTGGTGTGTGTTGGAAATATTAATTTAAATCTAAAGAAAAGTTTACTAGAAAAAAAAACTAGATTATTTTCTAGTTAACTTTTCTTTAGATTTAAACATCTAGCAGTTAAATGCTTAAAAATAAATAAAAACACAAATATTAATTAATTTATAATAACAAGCAAACTTTTTTCACTTTTAGATTTATGCCGGAGCCAAATCTACCGCCTCTAAGAGTCAATCTGAAAACCAAAGAAGATAGTCGAGACGTCATCAGTGTGCCTCTCATACAAGAACGAATACCAGAACTTCCAGCGGAGACCAGAAGAAATCTCATAGAAAAATCCCAACTCAGACCAGAAACTGCAGTACAACTCGTCAATGAACCACTTTTACTAAAACACTTCCAAGATTTGACGTTGGACAAAGAAAGAGATCCAATTAAAGTAGCCAACCTATTGATAAATGACCTATTGACAGTTCTGAACAAATGTAAAATTGATCCAGAAAAATGTCCCGTTACAAAGAAGCAGCTTGTTGAATTAGTCGATCTGTTTTTGTCAAAAGAAATCAATTTAGAAGTTTGCCGCAACATTTTAAATGAACTCGTAACATCAGAAATTGATAAAGACAAACCAATTGTGGATTTAGTTCACCAAAAAGGTTGGGCTCTCGTCACAGACACTGAAATCATAACACAACTGTGTAAAGAAGTACTTGATAACAATCCGAAATTGGTCAAACAATATAAAGATGGTAAAACGAAGGTGTTCAAAGCGTTAATGGGTATACTCGCGAAAAATTCTCGAAGTAAATACGACATGTCTTTGGTGTCCAAGATTATGGAAGATTTACTTAAAAAGTGATATGGTTTAGTATTTTGATAAGATGTAATTTATATTTTAGTAATAAAATTTAGCCGAATTATTAAAAATTGTGTGTGTCTGTTTAAATAAACACCTGCATGGTTTTCGGATTCTTTGTGGTCATACTAGTCATTATTTTTATTCATCATCATCAGCCTATTAATGTACCCACTGCTGGGGCACAGGCCTTCCTTGTTTATTTTTATTAGTAAATATTATTTTAAAGTAAGAGCTCATTGGAAATTAAGTAACTTTTGCAATGACCGATCATAGCATGAGTGACCAAAAATGTATTATTATCTAGGGCTTTTCTGTGCTTCAGAAAGCATTTTAGGCCGGTGGTCTTAGCTGTATCTGCAGTCGTTAGACAGTTGCTCAGGGGTGTGAAAAAGCTATGTTGTTTTCTTTACGCAGTTGATATTTTTGGTTGCGGCTGTATAACGTTTATTTATCAATCACGCATAATAACAGTCTAGTCACATAAAACTTTTTGTACTTTTATATGACCCAACGATTGGCCTCTAATGTGGCCTGGCTGTGACAGTCTTCCTATTTCAAGCTCCACCGTAGTTCGGGGGTACAATCGTTAGCATACCTATACCAATCCGTACTGGGCCCGTGTACTCATTATTCCTATTTTGTCCATAAGAAAGGCATAAGCTCCAGGAATGGGGACATTCATAGGCTAATGAGATGAAAGATGATTTAGAAGATTTTATGGTATCAGTTCTGTGATACTTGGTTTACTCCGCAAAGTATGGTATGAACATTACATGAAAATAAATGTTTCTGTGCTGATGAAACTTAGCCGAGTGGATTTCATTGTTCTCAAGTAAACACAGCACAAACACAAGTGAACCAAGGCGGATTTCTCGAGTATTCTCGCGAGTTCGAGAAATATCGAGCAGAAAAATTACTTACTACCACTCGCCATACTAATTTGATACGTCTCCTTTGTTATGTAACACCTATTTACAATGTGGCTAGGATGTTCTTCTCAATTCCAAACCAAGTAGGTTTAACACTCACTATGAATTGTAGTCATTATGATATTATAGTTAACGTTTGTTAGCTTTAGCAAGCGTTATACTTATTATATTTGACTCAAGCATGTTCCGGGTGTGGCATGATGCGCAATGTACATTTCCACATGAGGTTCTAGGCCATTATTAGATACATTTGTTTGTAGCCCCCACAGAACAGAAAGAGGTTTCTGTGTTCTGTGGTAGCTTCGTGAATTTTTGCTGCAGTTAATATCCAGTCAGTGGTCAGGTCGGTAATAAAACTTAATTTTAGTGTGCGATTTATCATGAGCATAACGCTTTGCTAATGTGACATTGAAAGGCGTTTAACGCCTCATCATTGCAGTCGGAAGAGACCGTCTTGTGAAATATTTTTTAATCTTAGAGGTCCCCCGATTGTGATGATTTTTTGAACTTGTAGCTAATGAATGGAATGAAAATGAACTTTATTCAAGTAGACTTATCAAAACCCTTTAAATGTTTTACAAGAGACATGCCCCGGATGTTACAAATTGCACGTACCTATACACTTTTTTTGGGATACAAATACTCTTTTAAGCGCTATAATACCTAGCTGTGGCTTTATTTGCAACTTTTGATAGTTTATGCTGAGCCAAGACAAATGAACAGTACACAGCAGTAATAAAGGCGATTCCCTGAGGAACGCAGAACATTATTCTTTTTAAATCGGATATAGTATAAGTTCGTTGTATTTGTTCCAAATCCAGTTGTTTTGTTTTTACAAATTAAATACGATTTTGTAAATAGGAATCTATTCAATTTAATGCAGCCCTGATTCCAATGTTTGCCCGCTTTGCGAAAAGTCTGTCATGTGAGACACAGTCAAAAGCTGTGTGTAATTACACACATCAAAAGTGTCTAGGGATCAACATATATTTTTGCAATAACTTTTCTCCTGATTGATATTAATTAAAATTTTCTTTAAGGATTCATCAAATAAAGTGTTTTCGTTTGTCACAGTAACGATAAACCAAGTCACCTTTGCATTAATAAAGAAATTTGCCATTTTCCTAATAAAGGGATTTTTGACATTTGAACCACTAACACAAAAGTTCGAAAAAAAGACTGAAATAACAGTTTTCTCTAAAATTTTATTGGGTAACTTAAACAATTAATAATCCGTATTTCTACCGCGAACACTAACAACACAAGAACATCGGTTTGGCATACTCAAAATGAGTTCATCCAAATCACGCTGTGGAATGGCCGCCCATGTTCGTTGCAACAACAAAAAAAGGTCTTCTTGCGACTGGATACCCTCCATATTCGGCAGAGCTCTTCTCTGTAGCATATCCCATGCATGCTCAATCGGGTTCAAGTCTGGCGACTGAGCAGGCCAGGGCAGGACATTGATGTTAGCTGCGGCGAGAGTCTGTCTTACAACTCTTGCGGTGTGCGGTCGTGCATTATCATGCATTAACTGAAATAAGGGACCGATTTGCACTTGTAGAGGAACGATGACGTCTGATACAATCGTCTCAGCATAAATTTGAGCGTTGAGGTTGCCTCTGATCCAAATCAACTCGGTTCTTCCGCCGATCCAAATACCCGCCCATACCATGATGGTTCCACCACTATAAGGATGGACTTCCTGGCAGGATTTTAATCGCTGTTGGCGTCCAGGGGTTCTCCAGTGTCGTATACGTCTTGTATCCGGTCTCATACCAAAACGAGACTCATCAGAAAAGCACACGAAACGCCATTGTTCTTCTGCCCAATTTCTGTGTTCAAGAGCCCATTGATATCGAATCCTACGATTGTGCATTGCTATAGGTGGTACCCGTAGCGGTCTTCGGGAATGAAGGTTCACTTCATGCAAGCGGTTTCTGACTGTTTGGTCGCTAATTAAGTTCCCTGAAGAGTGATGAAGCCTCACGGCTAACATCATGGCGGTTATTGTTGGAGCTCTTCGAGTTAAGATTTGAATGTATCGGTCTTGTCTCCGTGTGGTGCAGCGATACCGTCCTCCATGGCGCTCAGCCACGGTACCAGTGCTTCGGTATCGTGTCCAAAGTCGACTGATAACACTCTGACTTGTATTCAGAGCTAAAGCCACAGTACGTTGCCGGGAACCAGCTTCTATCATTCCCACGGCTCTGAGCATTTCTTCCCTGCTTAAATGACGTCGCCGCTCCATAATAACGTTGGTTTTAATCAGTAGTAGGGAAACAGTAGCACTAATAATGTCTTCAATGCGTTGTATGTTTTTATAGGGAAAATATTGACAGCTGATTTTCATCTTTTACTCGAATTTGATTCACAGTTCCTGATTCAAATTATGAAATGCACCAAAAAGGATCCATATAAATTTATAAAATCATAAATTTATTACAAAGCCACATCTCAATCTCAAGAAATCCGCATAAAAATGCTTGATCCCTAGACACTTTTGATGTGTGTACAAGTGTTCAAAACAGTATTATTTCATCAAGCATTAAAAAATCTACATGACTTGTACATTTTTTTTCTGAAAACCAAACTGATCCTCATTTATTATTTTAAACGAGTTGAGAAACAAAGAAAGATGTTTATGCATGGCCTTTTCAAAGATATTTGACAATACTGATACAAGAGATCAGTTTTATCGATTTTTTATGTAGTTTCTTGGCTGTTAGTTACCTATATAACTTTTAGTTTATTTCCATTGCAGGCAGGGAGACAGTTTGTTATTATTTATTTTTACATGCTTTTCTTTAGTGTAAAGTAGTAAGGTTTTTATTAGGGTTACAGGTAGACTAGTTGTGGACTAGATCAAGTATCGGAAGGTTTTTTTTGGAAAGTTGTGTAAATACCTAGGTAATTTATGACAGGTTGTGTTCTGCACCTTATGCTTTTTTTTCTACAACAATATTGAATCCGTGGCATGAGAAAAATATCGACGTAGGTAATAGCTATTAATGTTTTGCTTATGATTTAGCCGGCAAAATTTTGTTAGAGCCCGAAACTATTGACAGTTTAAAATGTTTTTAAACAAACAATGAATTCATTCATTCATTTGGATTCTGCAGCATTTGGATGTCACTGCACGAAGGTTGTTTGTTGACAAATGTTGTTGATAGCACGCGTCCTGAATACCGCAGGCTGAGGAACATCAAGGATGGCCTGTGAAATGGAATGACGGTCGTGTCCTATCACCAATTAGAGGTATGTTTATCAGAGTATAGGTTCTTACATTAAGGCCCACTTGCACCAATATTCTTAATTCAAATTAAGTTTTAATCATGTATATCACATCCTCAGATCACACCATTCCATTTTTGTCATAATGGACTTTTTGCCCGCCAAAATAGGTTGCTTACAACTGTATCGAGTAACGCACACGAGGGATTTATCCCGTACAAAAATTCCTTCGAACAACTGAGGACATCGAGAGACCGGACAGGATAAAAGTGCGCGAATGACTCAAAAAAATAGAACTCGTGTGACAATCGTGTGCTTTGTCCGTGACAAGTCCTCGGCGGACATTTTCTTCACGATTGAGGGACTATTGTCCTCCGCGGGTAAAAGTCCTTCATCTGCGCAGGCCAATAAAGGCAAATAGAGATAGAAAGAAATTGATCAGAACTTTGGTGCAAGTGGTCCTACAGATTGCTTTTTATTAATTTTTGTAAACAACTATTCCAGAGAAATGTTCATATTTAAGGCTAAGGTTTTAAGAGAATAACCGAGTACCAAGCTTAGAGAAGCTAGGAGCTAATGTAAGTCACTGATGCCGTTACCTGATAATTTGGACAGCTATTTTAATATGCAATACCTGCGACTATTCATAATTATAAGTCACTTAGCGTTCCCTAACTAAAATACAACCTTGTTTTGTACACAAAATTTATAATAATAATTCTTCTTGTAGTTTAACTTTGTAAGATGTGTCCTCCCTTAGTAACACGAAGTACTTACTTATTTCATTACATTGAATAAGTCGTCAGTTTATTAGATTACTAGCATTACCAGAAGTAC